GGTTTAAGGGCTGGCAAACGGCGAGGCTTGGACGCCCATAAAGCCATTGTTGTTCCTTGGGGTGCCTGTTGGCTGCAGCATGAAGCATGCCAAGGGATTGTTTAAGCGGCCCATAAGAAGCCATTGATGTGTGGCCTCGGGGTGGCTGTTGGCTGCAGGATGAAGCATGCCAAGGGATTGTTTAAGCGGCCCAGAAGAAGCCATTGATGTGTGGCCTCGGGGTGGCTGTTGGCTGCAGGATGAAGCATGCCAAGTCAGCGTTTTAAGGGTTTTAAATTTTTTAAGGGTTTGGAGGGTTTGGAGGGTTTTAAGGGTTTAAGGGCTGGCAAACGGCAGGCTTGGACGCCCATAAGAAGCCATTGATGTGTGGCCTTGGGGTGCCTGTTGGCTGCAGGATGAAGCATGCCAAGGGATTGTTTAAGCGGCTCATAAGAAGCCATTGATGTGTGGCCTCGGGGTGGCTGTTGGCTGCAGGATGAAGCATGCCAAGTCAGCGTTTTAAGGGTTTTAAGGTTTTTAAGGGTTTGGAGGGTTTGGAGGGTTTGACCTTGGAAAGCGAAGAAGGAGAAGTTTCACACCTGCGGTGGTCCCAGGCGCCGCCCCTGCCTTGGCCAAGGCCGGGGTCGGCGGATTCCTGGTGAGTTCCAAGAACTTCCAGATTTTTTTTTTCAGGCCGAGCCGGACCCAAATGGTGCAACCCAAAAAACACTCCAAAACGGTGCCATTTTGGCAGCATGTCCTTTGAGGGAGGTTGAACATGGAAATATGATGGAAATATCATGAAATATTGGCAACAACTAGCAACAACAGGTTGCTACAGCTTGTTCACCTCCCAACATCTCATTCCTTTCATTTTTTGGATCATTACGGTCCAGGATGATGAACATTTCACCCAAAAACCCCCGAACTGATCATCCCATTTGGAAAGTGGTCACATTTAAGAAGCCTAGTTAAGACGTATCCTAACTGGTTTATAGCCCATTTAAACTGGCTTATAGCCCATTTAAAATGGCTTATAGCCCATTATAGGCCCATCTGTCGCTCACTCACCCGGGTTTCACAAAAAACCGACTGTAGGTGGACTGCAAGAAGCGCGACGTGCGCTTTCCACAGGGCTGGGGCGTGCTGAGCCCCCAGGTCCATGGCTCAAAATTGTTCAGACCTGGAGGACCACAGCTTGGATGATCTATAACTCTAGTAAGCATCCAATGGCCAAATATTATAGTGGATAATGGTGGTTAATGGCGGATAATGGTGGTGAATAATGGTTAATGGTAGATAATGATGGTTAATGGATATCTGGTTGGTGGTTTGGAACCATGGAATTTTATGACTTTCCCATCATATTGGGAATGGAAAATCATCCCAACTGACGAACTCCATCATTTTTCAGAGGGGTAGGTATACCACCAACCAGTATAGTAAAATTTCTGACCTTAAATGGATGTATTTGATGTCCCCAATTTTCGACCCAAAAAAAGTCTCGCCATTTGCTTCCAGCCAGATATTTTCTGGGGAAGTGTGCTGGATGTTGTGACGGAGAACACCACCATCCATTAAATTGATATGCTGAAGCCGCTGAAGCCAGATACGTAGAGGTTTCGTTATGGTTCCCACCAGAAGACCTTCGAAACTCCAAGACAAATACCAGAAGATGATCCAGCGGGGTTAGTGCAGCATCTGTGGCTCTTCCAATTGGCCAATTGGGAGGTTGTCTTGGATCAATATGATGATGGTAATCGGAACCCCAAGTTCATCAGGAAAACCAGTGACAAGCTGTCTGAATTATTAGATTATAGTTCTATGTAATTCTAATCTGATTATAAGAACCACATTTTTTTACTACTGTTATTATAGTATTGATATAGTAGTCCTAATCATAATCTTACGAATTACCCCCATGTTCCATTACCGGTAACGATGAGTTTCTTTCATCCTTTTTTGGGGATGAGGATCAGTGGATGTAGGCGGTGCCCCTGCAGCCTGTTTTTCCCCCCAATATTAAACACCCCCTAAACGAAACCATGGTTTAGTAGGGCATTTCCACATACCCTCTGGTAAACGTTTACATAGCTATGGAAAATCATCATTTTCAATGGGAAAATCCACTATTTCTATGGCCATTTTCAATAGCTATTTTGACATAACCAGAGGGTAATTGGGACCATTTGATGATGGGGTCTTTAATATGAACGGGTGATGGGATCATACCCAGTAATCGTGGCAATGGAAAAATCGATGATTTTTCCAGCGAACTAAGCCGCCAGGGATTTTACAGCCTGCCACGTTTGATTGCTGGAGGGTATATCCCATGATCATCCCAGTAATATCCCATCAATATTTCATTACCATTACCTACAGATATATCTACCATAAACCATAGTTAACCATAATTATCCATGGGATATCAACCACTAATATGCCATTATTATACCATGATCATGATTTTTCCATTATCACCATTAAGACTCCATTACCATATATCCACCATAAACCATTATTTTCACTAACTATAGATAAATCATTAATGCCACATTAATATTAATTATAGATAAATCAACCATTGTTAATATCCCAGTATACCGTATACCATTATCCCATTATCTATAGTTAATTGGTGGATAAAACCAGTATTGATATAGATATCAATATCCCATAGATTTTGCACAACATCCATACATCCATTATTAGTACCATAGTTCATGGGATATACCTACATATTAACCATGGTCAATCACTAATCTTCCATTAATCCACTAATTAACCCTTTTCTCATATCCCATATTATCCCATTATTAAGAGTAACATACCACAATATTATCCATTCATTCTATAGTATACCAGTAATATTCCATAATTACCAGTGATATACCATAAACATATACAAAAAAAATATATCCGTAATATACCATAGTATCAATTAATATCCCATTAGTTAATGGGATATACCTATAATATTAGTCCAGGATGGGATTTTTCCATGCAAGATGATTATTTCAGTGGATCATCATGGGATTATCATGGATTCATGGGATATTTTTTCCATTGCCTTTAATCTTCCATTAGCCTCTGGTAGTTTAACACTTTGCGAACTGGAAAGATCCACCACCATCTTTAAGAACGGTAAATCATTCATAAATGGTCCATTTTCCAGTTCGCAAAGTGTTAATTTACTGTAATATTAATGGGATAACATGGTCATTACTCCATTAATCATTAACCATGGATATTCATGGGATATTCATGGGATATTCATGGGATATTCATGGGATATTCATGGGATATTCATGGGATATTCATGGGATATTCATGGGATATGAACCAGCAAAATCATCTTCCATTACCCTCTGGTAAACTAACATAGCTATTGAACATGGCCATTTATAATGGATTTTCCCATTAAAGATGGTGATTTTCCATAGTTATGTTAGTTTACCAAAGGGTAATCCATCAACATCCATAAATGATCCCCTTGGGATGAGCCTTGGGATGAGCCGAGACCTCTGAGGTGCCCGGTGTTGCCATGGGCTCCATCCTGCGCTTGCCCAATGTGGGGGCCGAGCCAAGCCTCACGTGGCCGGCCTAGGGCCGTGGCGGATGATGGGCTGATGATTTTCACCGATGAATTCGATGAGGAAAACATGGCATTCCAATAGGAAAAATGAGTTTTCATCGAATTTTCATCGATGTTTCATGAATTTTCATCGAATTCATCGTGACTATGAAAATTAATATCATAGGATTTTCCAATAGGACAATTAGGTACTATGATTTTTCTCGTGATAATTAAGAATGACAAATTAATTGGAATGCCAATTAAGAATGATCATTTTTAGGAAGTTAGAAAAAAATATAGGGGCTATAGATTTCATCGTGAAAATGAAGAATGAAAAATATAGTGACTATGTTCATCATCGAATTTTCCAATAGGACAATTAAGGAAAAATGATGATGAACTATGAATTCTATGAGTAAACCTTAGGGTAATTTAACATACCGGAAAATGATCTGGGTAATGAAATTCCAATAGGAAATCTTAGGAAAAATGTTGATTAACTGTTGGCAAATAGCTATTGGATGGCAATTTATGGCCAGTTTGATGAGGAAATTGATGATTAAGCAGTAGATTTAGGGGTACGGTACTAGTTGGGCAACTCCCATATGGCTGGATATCAATCTCGGAAAATTGTAGGAAACTTACTGGCAGATGAGGAGCACTTTTTTGAGTTGGGAATTACTTTAATCTGCCGAGATCAATATTGTTTGGACAAGAGGAAAAGAAGTGACAACCATGGAGATATAGCCCATGAATTTGGGGAACTAGCCAAGAAATTTGGGAGGGATGGTTGGTAAAATGTGGTAGTTTCAGATGTTTTTCGTCTTTCCATTATTTCCATCATTATTTCCATCCTACCAAGAGAAATGATCTTTGGGATGGCTTGAAACTGCAAGAAGAGATGTCCTGCAATTTCGCTGTTTGAGCTCATTATGTTTTTTTTTCTCCAGTCAAATTCCCAAACCGTAACCGTGTTGGTGAAATTCCATCAACATCCGGATTTTCGGTGAAATCCAGTGAAATCCCAGAAATATCGTGGCCAAAGGACTTTCCGCCAGGTGGAACTTTGTAGCTGATGCTGATGGTGCCAAAGCTGATTGGGCTAAAAATTTGCCAGCAACTTTGGAGGCGATGAAGCTGGATTTTTGGGGATTTAGCCTATTTTTTGGAGCCATACAAAGCTGTATTTCGTTTAAGAAAGTGTTGGGAAGAAAATGGGTTCTTTTTTGTTTTTGCGGATTTTTGCGTGGATCAGATTCATCAATGATATTTATATATATTTATATAATACACCAACATATACCTAATTTTCAGCTGTCACCAGCCAGTTCTGAGTCTCAGCCCAGTTGATTGATGAGAATTTTTGGCCTTCCACTCGTGTGTCATATGGGGATAATCCTATAGTGAATTCACATGTTACCCTCTGGTAAACCTACAAAAAACCATGGAAAATCACCATTTTGTTATGGAAACACTCACTATTTCTATGACCATTTTCAATAGCTATGTTAGTTTACCAGAGGATATTCTTCGCGATGGATACTGCAACAGTTATTACCAACGATGGCTTCAATTCACATCAATTCACATTGATCCACAGGTTCATAACATCTTTGTTGCTATTTTCAGCGGTATTGTTAATAACATTTAATAAGCCTAAAAACAATTATCATATTAATTTTCAGCATGTTAAATATGTGTTAATATCCCCAACACCAACATTTCATAAGCCTAAAAACTGGAGATGATCAACATGTGAATATCCCTAAAACCAATTGGATTTTGATGATTTTGGATATCAGCATTTTAATCATCTTAATATCAGCATGATCAGCATGTTAGAATATCCCTAACAATCAATGGGTTGGTTTTCACGGGAAAATCTACACCGGAAACCCATGGGTTTTTACCATCAAAATCCATCAAATATAGGGCTTTCCGGTTAAAATTTTCCCATCATCCAATTCCATGATTTTCCATGATCTGGTAGTATTTATCATTATAATCATTATAATCATTAACCATTTCCCATTATCCAATTCCATGAAACAACCATCAACCACTGGTTTCCCCGGTCTTTCACCAGGGCTTCTGGCCCGATGCCACGACCCAACGCATGGAGCGCTCGGATGACGGACACGGGACCTGGGCCCTGACGTACGCATCGCCCACGGCGCTCTTTCGGAAGGTGCCGGTGACCGGTGACCGGTGGTGACCGGTGACCGGTGGTGACCGGTGACCGGGGGAGGTCCATGGAGATGGTGTGAAGATCACCATGGCTTTGGCACCATGGTTTACCAACAGGACATCTATCTATACCAGTTCGCTATGTTAGTCATAACCAGAGGGTAATATAGTAATGATATAATAACTGAATGGGATAATATACTGGTTTACTGGTTTTAATCTTGGTGCATATTGGTGCAATTTGGGAGATATGTCCAATAAATCATATTATTGTTGGGAGGATTTGTTTACTGGTTGGTGGTTTGGAATATGAATTTTATGACTTTCCATATTTAATAATAATCCCAACTGACGAACTCATATTTTTCAGAGGGGTAGGTATACCACCAACCAGTTTATGATGTTAATATTGGTGCAATGGAATTTGGGAGATATGTCCAATAAATAATGTTTTTTTTTTTAAAAATGATTTTTTAGGAAAAAACTGATGGTTGAAAACACGTGTTTGTTTTTTTCCCGGACATATGGTGGTTTCAAGTAGAGTTTTCCTTAAACCAATCCAATAAATATAGTGGAATAGTTTGGGAGTGACCACCAAGAATGGGGTTAGAATGATTGAAATATGTTATGTTAAGATCTGGGGATTTTTTAGAATCAACCACGGGGGTATGTATCAAAAATCGGGTTGTAGCATCATCATCCGAACACGAATGCGACCAGCAAAAATTGAGGGCACCAGGCTGGAAAATCCACCAAATCTGGTGGATTTTGCCATCCAAAACCTCCATTTTTGAGGGATTTTCAATTGCGCTGTGTGATTACCGGAGGGTACCCTCTGGTAAACTAACATAGCTATGGAACATATTGGGAAATCACCATTTTTAATGGGAAAACTCACTATTTCTATGGCCATTTTCAATAGCTATGTTAGTTTACCAGAGGGTAACCTTAAAATACTCCCTACACGTGCCAGTTGTTTTCCACATGTCACGACTGGCCGAAACAAAAATTGGACTTTTGTGGCGGAGCCACAAAAATGTCAGGATGTGTCAGGATATGGTCACATTTTTTGGGTCTTCTTATGGGACCTCAAATCATTATATAGTATTAATGTCATTTTATAGTGTATTCTATATCTATATCTATATCTATATACTTTATATATATATATAATACCAGCCATGTTGGTTTCACAAGCTGTGTTTGTCACCCAGCCATGGTTTCAGAGATTTTCCCACTTGGCCAAGCTGGCCATGTTGTGGCCATGTTGTGGGGATGAAACCATCATTTTCCCTCTTGAAATGGCAATACATTGGAGTCAAATCTCGATTTTTCCAGAGTCACACCATTTTTTTCGTTATGTTTTAACCTTTAAAATCTCAACATTTTGATACATGTTGATGCTTAAATAGCTTAAACATATATGTTCACCAAGGTTTCATGCTGAATAACAACACCCAATTGACATCAATTGATCCATCCATAGCCTCGAGGATGAGCCACTGACTGAACGCACGGTGATGTCCCAATGGCTTGGTGCTGATTTGTGGCAGCAGGAGAACCAATGCTATTCTGCAGCTCGGAAGGAACGACATTTCCCATGCCGAAATGTGAAACATATAGAAAAATATGGGGAAGATGGCAATCAATAGTCAGACAAAAGATATATATATATAGTTTTCCAGAGTCGAGTATGATGCTGAGTTGAAGTGGGTGATAGGATTTTTTGGATGTTTTGCGACCCGTTTTGAGGTGGAATGGATCCGCCAAACGGACAGGGCCTTCAGGGGTTCCGTGGGGACAGGGGTTCCGCTAGAAATGAGACCTTGGAAAATCTTGGAAAGGTGGAGTTAACAATCAAAGATTGGGATTTAACAATGGATAATAGGGACTTGTTCATTAGAAATTGTGATTTGGGACTTTCCTAAATAGGGGGGACCCCACGTTACGTTATTGGTCATGCATAGTGGAGAGAGCAATGACTTATCCAGGGCTACGGTATGTTACAGTATCCAAAATAGTTATGGGAAAACCAATTTTGATCCCAAACTGAGGATATTTCGATCTTGTGTTTTTTTTCCCAATTTTCAGACCCAGTTCGATCAATGTGGATCAATTTCGATCGGGGAAATGAACCCCTGAGGATTCGACCGATCCGACAGGTGATAGGAAAAAAGAGCCATGAAGAACCAAGAACCATCTACTCTATAGCTAGATCATCCACATATTCATCTAATGTCAACCCCGGATGAGACTAAACCATGGTTTATTACTCCTCCAATAGTCATAATCTGATAGTACCCTCCCAATTAAACAGCCTAGAGGTTTATTAATCCAGGGCTGACATTATCATCTAGCAGAAATTTACAGACACCATCATTTTTCCGTAGACATCCGGAGACGTATTTTCTTGTATCTCTTCAGAAGCATTGTCGTAAAACCCACCATCCCCAAGTCACCTTTTTATGGTCCAGGATCTTTTACAGGGACAAGATGGTGTGGCCGACTACAAGGTGTTCAACAGACGATGGGGATGGGGCTGGAGAAACAGAGATTGATGTGCAAACCAGAGGGTCAAAAGATTCAAAGATGACTTTAGATTCGTTGATATGCGTTGTTTCTTTTTTAGATTTGAATATATCAGGTATATCAACATATATTATTCAGATCACATATATATATATATTATACAGTAATATATATATAATAATATATATATATACATTATACACATGATATTGGCATTATCTCAAGGGTGAAGAACACGGTGCACCTTCGGCTCGAGTCTCGAGTCATCGCTCGTCCTGTTTTAACGCGTCGAATCCCCGTCCAATGCGGCGGTTCTTTTTCCAAGTGCTGGTCCAGCTGGCAACTTCAGACGCCCTTCGGCCGATTTTTTGTGAAAGGGTTTGCTGATGGGAAATCAAAGCACTTTGACGTGAAAAGATTGCCTTCATTCATCATTCTACAGATCTTTTCCAAGGCATTCGAGGAGTTTTTTTTTGGGGATAGGAACACCTTGGAACACCGCGGGTTGACGAGACTTACCCGTCCTCCAAGAGCTGGTGATAGGCAGATTTACCACTGACGTTGTCAGCTCTTTCTGCTGATGATGAATGTGGACCATCGGATAACGCGTGCGTTCTCTCACAACTTCAGAGACTTGGCAAAGATTTTGAGATCACATTCAGATGATCCAACAAAAATCCGAAAGTCACTCATGGACCTCATGGACGTCTCGTGTTGCTGGTCCAGAATGATGATATTTGAATATTTTAACATGAATTGTGTATACTGGTTGGTGGTTTGGAACCATGGAATTTTATGACTTTCCCATCATATTGGGAATGGAACATCATCCCAACTGACTTTCACTCCATCATTTTTCAGAGGGGTAGGTAGGTATACCACCAACCAGTAATGATATATAACTCTACCATATAACTCTACCAGTAGGTATACCACCAACCAGTATTTGTGTATTTGTCGTGATTGCACCAACCAAAATCATCACCGAGGACCAAGGCTTCGCAACCCTGGTGGTATTGGAGATCGCTGCTGGGCCTGGAATTCTTCACCAGCTGTGGGATAATGCTCCAAGTACCCAAGAAGCACTCGGATTTTGGGATTGAACTTCTACCCGAAAATGATGGGGTTTTCCCCTGATTTTTGAGAATTGTTCATGATTTGGGGCCCGTTTCAACACCGGGAACGTTTTTTTTTAGCAGTGGGAAATCTCACGTGGGGTTTCCCCAGCACTTTCCATAGAAACAACATGGAAAAACCATTGTGGCCATGAATCAACCAGAGTAGCTGCTTTGACTCCATGCCATCTGGTTGTCCAATGATGCGGGGGAATACCCCTGCAAAATATGGTCATTTTGGATACGGAAAACGATCATCAACCATGATGATCAGAGGAACACACCTATGTATACCTATATGATCCTATATGCCTGATGATTGTGATATATAATCTGGTTGGTGGTTTGGAACATGAATCTTATTTTTCCAAATATTGGGAATGTCATCATCCCAACTGACTTTCATATTTTTCAGAGGGGTAGGTATACCACCAACCAGTATATGAATGTATTTGTTGTGATTGCACACATAAATCCAACCACTCTGGAGGTTAATGATATATAATTGCACACAATTGTACCAGTGTAATGATATATAATTCTACCATATTCTACCCTTTTTCTCAGTCAGGAGACCAGGCTGGTCAATGCAGCCTCCGTGGCAGATGCAACCCATGCAGCCCATGCAGCCAGCGATGTATCCCTGGATGCGGCCCATGCAACCGGTGCAACCGATGCAACCGGTGCAAACGACGTCAACGCCAGCCACGTCCACGGCTGCATCTTGGACTTGCTACACTTTGCCGTCGCAGTCAGGATTATCCCAAGACTGAAAGAATAGTAATTATATAATAATATGATAATGATATATATATATATATGTACGTACATATATAATATGATCATAATATATATATACGTATATATATATACTACAATATATTTTAATGTATAACATATATATATATATATATATTATACATTGTAATATTTAATCCTCAACCAGAAAAAAAACGAGGCAAACTATTCATGTTTGACCCAGTTGACCCTCCAAGCAGCTTTTTCAAAAACTTGGCACCGGGAAAGCTGAGGCAACTGGACCAAGAAGGACGTACATCCCATTGGCTCCCAACGGATGCTCGGATCCGAACTGGAACTATGATTGGAGGTGCTGGATTTCTCAGTTTCACAACTTGCTTTATCGGAAAATTCGTTGTTTCTAAGCTATCTCTTTCTCGGATTTCCCACTTGAGATGGTCCTGGAACGTGGAATTTCCCACTTAAATTGAAAAAATCAAAGCTGGCAGCGGAACCAGAGGCGCAGTTGTTCAACCTTTCAACCTGTTGCCCACTCAGATTGTGCAAATCCAAGGATGGGGGATGGTTGCAGATGACGAGGGGCAAGAAATCACGCATTTCACGGCGACAAAGATACTTGCCTCCCAATTGTTTCAGCATGTTTCAGTTCCGGACGAGAAACATGGGATTCTGGGTTTCTCCATGAAAAATACCCTCTGGTAATTTAACGTAGCTATTGAAAATGACCATTAATAGTGGATTTTCCCATTAAAAATGGTGATTTTCAATAGCTATGTTAAATTACCAGAGGGTACCCCCAACTTAAATTTGAAAGTGGAACATGATAATATTATGATAATCAACACTCAAAAAGGGGGTAGGGTGCTCATTTCAGAGCTTTTTGACACCTCCAACAGGGAATCTTTTCTAGGTGTCACATCTGCAGGCAGCAACTCTTAGCCCAAGTTGGTTAGTCATCATGACCCCCAACAAGATAGCCATAGGATAGCCATTCCAGTGGGGTAATCATCATCATCCCTAGCAAGATAACCATAACCGGTTGGTGATTTGGAACCATGGAATTTTATGACTTTCCCATCATATTGGGAATGTCATCATCATCCCAACTGACTTTCACTCCATCATTTTTCACAGGGGTAGGTCAACCACCAACCAGATTTTATTTCGCCATTTGGACGTACCATGCCCCCCATTTCCATATTTCCACATCTTTCCACATCCATTGCATCAGGACACGCTGTGAAGAGGCCTGTGATAGCACCCCAAACTGCAACAGTTTCGTCTTCTGTACCTTCGGTGGTTGCTTCCTGAAGACTCGCCAATTCAGCGGTCAGGAAACCATGTAGCTTGGATGATTCCAATGATGCTGAGGGTGGGATGATCTCCCAAATGAGTATATGTTTGTACTGTATATATATATATATGGGTATGGGTCAATACCTATAGATACATTTTTAGGGGGATGAACATCCATTTACCAGCTATTTTGATGTTCACCAGGGGTACCAGGTTTTGACACACTGCCATATATATATATATACATACACAATATGATACATATATTAATATACTTAAATGGATGTTTCATCCTCCCAAATGATAGCGGTATCATCAGAGACATGGCATCTCAAGGCAACCAGCTCAAAGTGTGTCGCTGAAAAGTGTTGCTCATTTTTTTCACCAGGCATTACAGTGGCTTTTGCTCCACCTTTTGGGCTGCGACGGTCACAAGTCATGGCGCTGCAGCCTTGCCGCCCTTGCAACATGTGGAGGTGGGGGATAGACCGAAAACGAAAAAAGGGGTCTGAAAACGGGGCAACAACAAAAACAAAAGGCTATATAATATATATAATTTTAGTAGGGAAAAGATGGGAACATGGCGATTAATTTGTGAAAATTTCGGGGTAGCAACCCCACTTGGTCTTCTTTACAGGACCAAAAATCCAGTGGTTGGAGCCCTCCACGAACTGCCCGGCAGGTGCAGCAATGCAAGAAGGGCACTGTGCCGGAACCCAACGGAAAATGCCACTCCGCGCAGCTGGCTGTGCTATCGGCTGCCACAGGTCGATGGAGAATATTTGTAGGTCATTGATAGATAATGAATCATAACGTATGTGAATGCTAGACATATTACATCACATCATATCATATCATATCATAACTACATCTATTTACTTCAATGGCCAGTGGCTGAGGGATTAGGCTTTCTAACATTCAGAGAGTGATTCGTTGCAATTCGCTGACAGCTGACCGCTGGCCTCAGGTAGCACTTCATCATCGCCCACGTTGATGACTTTTTATCAATATCGCGCCCAAAGCGGTGTCCCGACCTGACAATTTCTCAGGTTGGAACCTGGGAAGTTGACATTTTTTTGGGATATCACCGCAAAACAGGACTGGTATCAGTAGGCATCAGACATTCTGCGGGACCGCGGCTGAGGCGTGATTCCCAAAGATCGTCTCTGGGAGAATATGAATTTGGCCAACTTGGGTGGTGTCATGTTCTATCTTCACAATGAAGTGGTGGACAAGGACGGCGAGATGATGGATGAGTCAGGCGGGCATGGGAAACATGGGGTTCACCGTTTCATCCGTTGCTGAGCTGTTCTGGATGACAGCCCTTCAGCTCCAGGTCACAAAACCACCAAGTTCCAAGTCGATCGGATTCTGCGGTTCAAAGTGACCATGAGAAACTCCGATGCCCTCTGGACGCTTGAACGGTTTGATCATGACATCAGTGTCCTCGCCAGATTTCACATCAAAACTAGGCGTCCTGATGTGCCCGTGGAATAGAAAAACCCATGAAAAAAAAGGGCATCCAGGAAATGTTGCTATGTACATGTCATCTATTTGGAAAGAAGCACTCAAATCGCACCCGAAAGATTGGACCGAGCACATTTCCAGCGCAGTAAAATCCAGACTTCTACTCCTAGACTGCCGTGAATCCGAGGAAGAAATTCCGGCAGCTTGGATTGGGTTGAAGTGATGGGCTCGTGCTGGCGACGCTGGGCGTAGTCCTCATGACAGACACATGTAATTTTCATATATTTTCATGTCATGATGGAGTGTAATGTTCATAAGATGTTCTTTGCTTGCATTGCTTGTATTTGAAAAAAAACCAATAGCTATGGAAAATCACCATTTTTAATGGGTAAATTAACTATTTCTATGGCCATTTCCAATAGCTACGTTAAATTACCAGAGGGTAGGCCCTGTGGTTTTGCCGCCAGAGAAACATGCACCTGCTGAAGCACCTTTGGACTGGTGTGATGTGTGGCTTAACTAACTGGTAAATTAACATAGCCATTGAAAATGGCCATAGTTAAATAGTGGATTTTCCCATTGAACATGGTGATTTTCCATCGTTTTTTGTAGGTTTACCAGAGGGTATTGGAAAAAATAAACATCTAGGCTCTGTGTTTGCCAAAGCCCTGTGGCAAATTGCCAGAGAAACATGCACCTGCTGGACCACCTTTGGACTGGTGTGATGTATCCTGGTATCCTGATGGCAAGGTGTCGTGACGTGGCTTAACTAACTGGTAAATTAACATAGCCATTGAAAATGGCCATAGTTAAATAGTGGATTTACCCATTAAAAAAATGGTGGATCTTTCCAGTTCGCTATGTAAACGTTTACCAGAGGGTAACTAACTGACAAATCAAGGGGACGAAAGAAAGCATCAATGATTGCTTCATGTTTTCTGATGCGTAGCTAAATTGATCCAACTGTGAGTCCTCGTAGAGAAATTTGGGGTCCACGTTTTGTGCGCTTATTTTTTGTTATGTTTTTTCAAAACCAATTTCCTGTACCGCTTTTGCATCCCAATTTATGTGGGTCTTACTATCATTATTTTTTGGCCCTGTCTAACCTAGGTGTCTAACACCACATAACGGGGTTCGCTGGGTCTTTTTTGGTATAGTATCGAGCCCCTGAAACGGCGCTACTCGCATGTGATGTTTTGTACGTTTTGTTTTTATTGTGTTATTCTCCTAGGTGGGCGAAGTTATTATATTGCTGTCTTTCTTGGATGTTTCGTGGAAACTTTTCCATGTGGTTCTTTTCCTCACAGCTCTTTCATTGTTGAAAATAAATAGCAGGGCTGTCAACCAGCAGGTCGATCAATTTGAGGCGTTTCAACAGACTTGAAAATCTAACCACAAACTCATGATATTTCAGAAGTGTGGCAAAAAGCGAAGAGTGGCTAAGCGAAGTTTCTGATGCTGATGTGCTTTTCACATTGACAGCGTGTCAAATTGAAAGGGCTTGTAAATGCTTGTAAGAAAGGATTTTCTTCTTATGATTCTTTTTCCGGTGTGCGTTTAGCGGTGTTTGTATTGCCATTTGAACTTTCGAACAAAACTTTCTACATTTCGTGATTTGAAGACAATGAGAACAATCCTGCGCAGCATTGTAAACGTATGTATTGCTGCAGCTTGAAGAGCTTGTACGTCGTACATTAAACTCAAAAACCCATTTGAAGCTTTTGTTGTTCAAATAATCGAATGTATTGAACATATTTAATAACCTTACTCAAATCATCCTAGCATTTATCACCTTTTATCGATTCAATAAAGTGAGATATTCAAATACAATTATTCAAATAGGCAAATTCATTAGCTTTTATGATTCAATAAGAAACTATTCAATAAAGTGAATGAGGACCACCCGCTCTATAAATGACACATTTCTATTGGATTTTTCTATGATGCTGTCAGAAGGGGGAACTGCTTTAGCATAGAGATTTGTTTATTTAATTTTGGTTATCTCATCAATTATCGGGTAGTGCTAAAGTATATAGATACATCTTTATGTATATATATATATATACAAATCCATCTATCTATATCCACAAAAATTGAATTTGCCGCTTATCATGGGTCTGCTTGCAGGCGTCCTTTGCAAAAACCATTTCAAAACAATTTAGAATGAAGGGTACGGGCCCCAACTTTACCGCTACGATGCAGTTCTAGACATACTTTGCAGAACCAAATGAATCCAAATCCCAAATTAGTAAAATGCCCAACATGTCTATTGCAAAGTTCCGCAAGACAACAGAAGTTGGGGCCCCACACTGCATGTTTGCTTCCGCAAAGCATCGTTTTGGAAACCCGCGTCAAAACGGACACATGACATGTGCTCAACGTATCTTGTGAATTCTTTTCAAACATAGAACAACGACCAGTTCGCGCTGCTGTTTGCGTTTGGCGTTCTTGTGGCAACCACTCCGAATATGAAAACCCTCTCAACTGTTTCTTGAATGTTCTGAACATTTTTTTGGAACGGAGCAGTTAGAATACTGAAACATTCTGCTTCAGAACCCAACCAGTTTTGGAACCAGTTTCGGAAATCCAAAATTTCAAAGCACCAGTGCAATTATCAATCTGAATCAAGCCGCAGCTAGCTGAACTGAGGTCACAGTTTGGTCAGTTTATCCAGTTTGACTATGGTCAAGCGACGTTCGGTATGCCGGACCATGTGAAGCACCTGAACTGCAACAGGGGCTGATGGAAACAGGACCGGTTTTGGGAAAGCGGTTGACAGGTCATAGTACTATAGATGTGAAATCGCGGTTGGAGGGTGATGAAACATCAAGAGGTCATGCTGCATTTTTCAGTGTGAACTCTGTTGGCGCTTTCTAAGGAAATGCAATGCGATTTGGTCAGAATTCGGCTACGAGGCAAGCTGTCTGTTTCCAGTTGCACAAATTTGGATCGAAATTCAGAAACAGTCAGGAACCCCAAAACGAGGGCGTTGAACATGGTTTGAAATACAGTTGACCCATTTTTGGGAGTTGTGTTTTGATAATTATAGTGGATTGATTTTGATTAGTTCCCAGTTGGTGGTTTGCAGGTTGGATGTCAAGCAAATCCCTCGGGGGTCTCTGCCTATGATGAGGGCTATTGGAAACTTGTCAGCAAAAAGTAGTCAATATACAACACCTGTTTGGTGGTCGCAAACATTGTTGGTCAAGTTGCATCCCAAGTCCACACAGAGAATCGCAAACACCCAGTCGTTACAACGTGGATATTGGTGTTGGGTGTTTTTCTTTTTAATGAAGGTCGTGGTTACCCTCTGGTAATTTAACATAGCTATTGAAAATGGCCATTTATAGTTGATTTTCCCATTAAACATGGTGATTTTCCATAGCTATGTTAGTTTACCAGAGGGTATGTGCAATGTCCATCGAAGAATTGCTTGGCCATCTTGTTAATAAGCAATTTCTACTGGAAAACCATGAAAAACCCAGTAGATTTGTCATAACACAACCTGAAGATACTTGTTAAAACACACATGGCAGTGTGTCAAAACCTTGTACCCCTGGTGAACATCAAAATAGCTGGTAAATGGATGTTCATCCCCCTAAAAATGGTATTAATAGGTATTGATCCATACCCACATTTGAAATTTGTTCTAACACAACAATTTGTTGAAAGCAATTTTCTATTTGTTATTGCTATTTCAATTTGTTATAACACAACTGTTGTTAAAAGTTAAAGCCGTTGCCTTGTGCTCCGCCGCTCGAGACTTCTGTCAAATCACACTGCGAAGAGTGAGTTTCATCCAGGTGCTGACCGACCCAACTGTTTGTTGGTTAAATCAATTGATTGAAGCCGACTTAATAACCGTATCATAATAATAATAATACATATATATATAATTTATATATATATATATACGAATATATATATATATATATTATGGTTGTACGCCCCCGTGCTTAAAGACGAACACGGTGATTGCCCGACTCATCCGCAGTTTCGGCTTCAAGGGAATGAGTGGCGTGGAGCATCCCCTGCTCAGTTGCGTGTGCGCCTTGTGCCACACGTGGCGCCGAGTGGGGTACCTCCTTGTTGCTCCTGATAGGTCGGACAGTTTTCGTAGTGTGGCCCTCCAGCGCGTCCGGGACCTTTTTGTGGAGCTCCTGGATTTGGCTGAGGGCGTACCAGGCAGGGCTCCTGTGGCAGCAGGTGGCTCTGCTGATACCTCCCGTCTGAGGGAGGCACCGGGGAGTGAGGCTGATATAGCGCTAGCTGAGGCTAGCTCCAAAGCCCCCCCGGCGAAGCCTCCGGCGCTGGCAGGCGCGGGAGAGGCTGTCAAGGAGGAGAAGAAGGAGACAGAAGCCCCAGCTCGAGGGGAGGCCAAGAGTGAACAGGCCCCTAAGAGTGCAAGAGAGAGTGGCCAGGAAGAAGAAGGTCATCCAAAGGAAAAGAAGTCAAAGAAAAAAGACAAGAAGAAAAGCAAAAAATCAAAGGAAAAAGGGTCACATACGGCATCGGCAAAGTCACGGCAGCAAAGGAATCCAAAGGAGAAGGTTTGCGGGGAAGAAGCTGTCAAAGCTGAGGAGTCTCAAGATACGTGTCCTTCAGAGGCTGAGGAAACTGAAGTTGAGGATTCAGTGAAAAGCCCTAGAGGTAGAGGCCGAAGTCCCAGCCTTAGTCGTAAAGTTTTAACTCCTGAGCGTAGGAGTCCCAAGAAAGAGCGAAGTCCAGAGGGAAAGAATAAGAGGAAGGCAAAATCGTCAGAAAGGAAAAAGAAAAAGAAGTGAGAAGAGATCTCCTGAGAGTGGGAGAGTGGCCCGCGGTAGGAGGACTCCTGAGCGTGGGAGGGACCGCAGCCGCCGAGAGGAGAAGAAGAGGAGGTTGTCAAAGTCTCCTGAGCGTAGGAGAAGGTCACACTCCCGGAGGAGGGAGGAACAACCTAGAAGGAGAGAGGCCAGGTCATCTCCTGAGAGGGGGAGAACAGAGCGCAGAAGGGACAGCGATCAATATCGGTTGGAGATCCCTGGGAGCCGTCTGCCTCCGCCAGAGCCTAGGCTGCCACCTAGGCCCACGGTTCCTACTGAGCCGCCGCCAGGTGTTTTTGGCGGTCCAGCCCCTCGGTGGAGGTGGCCCGTGTGGGGTGAGAGGAAATCGAAGGGCGTGAAGAGGAGAGCCCGAAATCAAGACATCAGGCTGTACGGATTGGACGAGGACCGCAAAGCAGATCGCAAGACCCGAGGTGGATGAGAAGGAGGCCGGCCGCTGCAGGGCCACCTAGGCGTAGGCCTGCCACCGCTGTTGAGCGGGCTCCCGATCGTGGGAGTGAAAGGGAGGACATTGGGGTGGTATACAACAGAGGAGACGTTGTTAGCGCCCAGCAACTCCCGCTAACGGCCTTGTGCAGAGGCCATTGGATTGCAAGTGAGGAAAGCACTTGCTTTGAGGAGACGTGCAAGTGGGCAGGTAAGGTCCAAAGGGTGGTGTTGGAGGACGGCGAAGCTGAGGCCCAGGTGGAAGTCACCGGTACTCAGTCAGAGGCATTGCTGAAACACGCCTCAGCCCAGTCTCCTGCTATTATCCGCGCCCACCTGTGCAAGGGTGACTGTGACGGAAAAAGAGTGAACGCTGACCTGGTTCACTTGCGTTCTTTGCGCAAGTTGGGTGAGGAGGCTGCCAAGACCTGGGAGGTCAACCTGGTCACAGCTGACGAGAACGCTCCATTACGGAGGGTTCAAGAAGAATGGGCGAACCGCAGAAGAGGAGGAGAAGAGAAAGTACCGTCAGCGTCCTCACCCTCGCAAACTCCAAAGAAAAAGAAGAAGAAAAAGAAGGAGAAAAAGGAAGAGGGAGAAAAGAGGGCTCCCGTGAAATATGGCGGCAAGAGCGTAGCCAAAAAGCCGTTGAAGGATCTGTTCAAGGGTACCGGCCTCGACCCCGACCCCCGGACGAGGAAAAAGGTCGTTCGGAAGGTCAAGAAGAGACTTCGAAAAACCAAGGACTCGTCAAGCACCTCGTCGAAGACGTCAACAAGCTCATCGACGGACGAAGAGGTGGAAGGCATTATGGAGGACAGGTCGAAGATACAGAAAATCTCGACGCTGGGGCCAGGAGTTCTGGCCTCCTCCGCCATCCAGAGCATGAAACAATACGTGCTCCAGGAGGGCGGCTCGACATGGTCGATGGACGAAACGTCGCTGCCTCCATTGATGAGCCAATATGCCAGGATGCATTTGGCTCCGAAGGGATCAGGCGGCATCCTTCGAGAGATAGTGACATTGAGCCACATTGGAGACTTGCTCCTGCAAGGACGAGTAGCGGAAGGGGTCGATTGTGTGGCTCAACGTTTAAAGAGCCTGGAGCTAGTGCTGGGTGGTCAAGCCTGGGGAATGGCTCAAAAGGTGGAAATAACTCCCACCCTCGATGCGACGATCTCGACCCGGGCAGAGGTCCAGGTTGCGGTCAAGGAGTCGAAGCTCGACGCCCAGGCCCGGGGGTCAGCATCCCCTTGGGACAAAGGTCGGGGGAAAGGAAAGACCAAAGACAAAGACAAAGGAAAAGGAGAGAAGGGAAAAGGAAAAGCAAAGGAGGAGGTGAGGAAAAGCTCCTGAGAGTGGGAGAGAGAAAGAAGATGATGAGGAGCTTCAAAGACCAGAAAAGAGGCTCTGATGTGGAGGAGGCCTCCTGCGAGGAGGTGTTGAGAGAGGAACAAAAAAGTAGAGGAGCATTCTCACGAGAGGACACTTGGGACGACTTTACAACAATTCCTTTGGATGTGCCGTCAAAGAGGGCTTTAGATGAAGAGACTATGAAGGGAGATGGGATGCTCCTGCAGAAGAGGTTTCACCGCACAATTGGAGTAGCTGCCACTGCTCCTACCGTGCCCTTGTGTACAGAAAGTTTTTCACTGGAGACGGAGGACGTCATCGCGCCAGATTGCCCAGGCTTGGGCCGGGCCGCCGCGGAAAAAGAGCTGCAGCCATGTGAGCAGGGTTTGATAGGGATGGGAGATATAGGGATGTGGCTTCAGGGTAGGATTGGCGGTTTCGTCGAAGTTCTCAGCAAGGTCAAGCCCACGGGTAAGGTTTTCCCCTTGCCCTCGTCTTTTCCTGCCCTGAGTCAGTGTTTCCCTCATGAGTCTCCCCCTGTCTTAGCTCTGTTGAGGTCGTTAGTTTTGTCCCTCAATTCTTTGAATGGTGAAGGACTGTCTTCTGCTAGACCCATGTCACCTTTCCAGCACAAGATTTTGAAAAACTTGCTGAAGGATTGCCGTAGGGTTCAGGAGTGGAAAGACCGTGCTCCTCCCGTCACGTGGGAGGAATTCTTCAAAGTAAGAGGAATAGTATACAGAGGGGAGGAAGTTCTTTGCGCACAAAGTATCCGGTGGGAGAATTTAGCTCCTGCACTCCCGACTGAAGTAGGAAACGTCCCGTTAGAAGAAGTAGTTGAACTTGGCTCGCGTGAATTTGTTTTAAGCTCCAATAAGTATCTTCTTGATCCTGGAGACCAAATGTACACTAGACCTCCAAAAGTGATGGTAGCTCCCGAACACTGGGAGACCCTCTGTGAGAATCTCCTGCAAAGGGGAGTTTTTGCGAAGATCCATGAAGACGAAGTGTACAAAGTGGATGGTAAGTTAGTCCTAAATGGGCTATTTGGAGTTTCAAAGCATGAATTCGAGGGTGAGTTTGAGGTCATGCGACTTATTATGAACCTCATCCCAGCAAACCGGCTGGTGAGGAGTTTGGATAGCGATATTGCTACGTTGCCTTCCTGGGCCAGCATGTCACCTCTAGGCTTGATGCCGCATGAGGATTTGCTCATTTCCAGTGAAGACGTTCGATGCTTCTTTTATATTTTCCGGTTGCCGCCGGCCTGGTACCCGTTGATGGCCTTTAATCGGCCTCTGCCGCCCCGGCTGTCTGGAGAAAAGACGGGCAAGTGGTATCCATGTGCCGCGGTGTTACCAATGGGTTTCAAAAACAGTGTGAGCCTGGCGCAGCATGTGCACAGGTTCATCACGCGACGAGCCCTGGGTCGCGCCCGTATGGGCGGTGAACTGGAAATCAGAAAGGACAAGACTTTTTCTTCGGGAAACCCGCTGTTCCGGATCTATTTGGACAATTTCGATGAGTTGATGAAGGTCT